AAGTTTTAATAAAAACTCAGTGAATTAAAGGAGAGAGGCCTTTAACTGATTGCAGTGATACAAGTGCATAACAGCATCTGCAGGTGAGAAAGAAAATATGTACTTGAAGAAGTCTTTACAAGTTACAAAGGTATCACACTACTGTAATCCTACCTAAATCCCTGTCTTATTTTGACCAAAGCTCTGGCCAGTTTGGGCTCTTCATGCTCTCCACTGCTGTGCTCAAAGACCTCCTTGTTACTTCAAAGTAGAAGATCTAATATTATTTTGGCCATGAGCAGATTAAAGCAGGAGAGAAAATGTTACATAAACTTATGCAAATTACACAGAAGAAAGTTACTGATTTATAAACAATCATTTCATGCAAGTAAGGAGCATTTGAAGTGCCCTGAAAACCATGACAGTTCTGTGTTTCTCTGCTTTTGAGTTTTTGCTCACGAATCAAAATTCCTTAGCGTGTGATTGACCTATTTTAGGGTGGATTTCCATTTCCATAGATCTAAATGTACACCTAATACTTCAGCTACATTTCATGTGAGCTGTTAACACTTTTCAGAGTGTCACAGAACAGCCAGAGCTTGTCAGCTCCTCTCAAAGTGAAACCATGAGTGCATTAAAACTGCTGTATCCATCCTGGAAACATCTCCTGGGTGAAATGTGAATTAAGAGCAGTTTAAAAGCCTTTTCACTGCTATATTAAGCATAACATTTCCTACAAATCTGATCTCAGGTTTCTTCCCCAGCAGAAGTACTGAGTTTTAATTGATAGCTCAGGGGCCTGCTTCTTTCCTTACATCTGCAAATAGAGTAAAACTCTTCAGCACCTGCCAAAACATCTGAGCAGGCTAAGAGACAGCAAGGCAGGTCTCTCAGCATAAGCTGCAGATGCCACCATTACTTTTAAAGTCCCTAATTGATTAATCTGAAAACCTGGTTCTCACTTTGCTTAATTTTTATACTACTTTCTGGTGGTTCTTTTTCCCCTTTGAGCCCACCCACATTACAGTGAATTTGCAAGATATAAATCAAGTGTGTGCACGGCCTTTCCAGTACCACAGTATTTTTTGCTTATCTTCTGAAACAAGCTGCTTTCTTTATAAAACATTTAGAAGTTAAATATCGTGCCTTCAAGAGTTCAGTGTTCACAGGGCCACTTACATATAAACCACACTGCTGTGTGCATGCAAGGTAATGTTTTATGCCTGGATTCCTTCAAAACCTTTAATTTGGAGGTGTGCTTCCACCATCCACCCCTTGCTCTGTCCCATGTGCTATTTTGGCTGTGTGGCATCACTAGAGCAGGGGATGAGAGTGATGCTCACACTCCAGAGCAGGAGATGAGGGTAATGGATGAGGGTGATGCTCATACACCAAAGTATCTTCAGAGCAGGGGATGAGGGTGATGCACACACTCCCGAGCAGGAGATGAGGGTGATGCTCACACTCCAGAGCAGGAGATGAGGGTGATGGATGAAGGTGATGCTCACACACCAAAGCACCTCCAGAGCAGGAGATGGGGGTGATACTCACCCCAGAGCAGGGGATGAGGGTGATGGATGAGGTTGATGCTCACACACCAAAGCACCTCCAGAGCAGAGCATGAGGGTGATGCTCACACTCCAGAGCAGGGGATGAGGGTGATGCTCACACTCCAGAGCAGGGGATGAGGGTGATGCTCACACTCCAGAGCAGGGGATGAGGGTGATGCTCACACTCCAGAGCAGGGGATGAGGGTGATGCTCACACTCCAGAGCAGAGCATGAGGGTGATGCTCACACTCCAGAGCAGGGGATGAGGGTGATGCTCACACTCCAGAGCACGGGATGAGTGATGCTCACACTCCAGAGCAGGGGATGAGGGTGATGCTCACACTCCAGAGCAGGGGATGAGGGTGATGCTCACACTCCAGAGCAGGGGATGAGGGTGATGCTCACACCAGAGCAGGGGATGAGGGTGATGCTCACACTCCAGAGCAGGGGATGAGGGTGATGCTCACACCCCAGAGCAGGGGATGAGGGTGATGCTCACACTCCAGAGCAGGGGATGAGGGTGATGCTCACACTCCAGAGCAGGGGATGAGGGTGATGCTCCCACGCCAAGGCACACGGCTCACACAACCCCCGGGCACACGTGGCGTGGCCCACAGGTGACACAGCGACCGAGGCCCCGCGGTCCCCCAGCCCAGCGCCCCTCGGGGCACCCGCGGCCCTGCACCGGCTCCGGGAGGCCGCAAAGGGCCGCGGCACAGCGGCCGGGCGGCGGGGCCGAGCGCGGTGACCCGCTCCGAGCCTCACCTTTGACATCCCCCGCCAGCGCTCGCCAGGTGGGCGCGAAGGCGATGCAGTGGCCGCAGGACGAGCTGTAGAACTGCACCACCCAGGCGGCCGAGGAGTTGAGCAGCGCCGGCCGCACGGAGCTGGCCGTCAGCACGGTCAGTGGGTCGTGCCCGGGCTGGTACAGGCGCGCCGTGGCGGAGGCCGCCAGCAGCACCGGGAGTAGCACCGGGAACAGCAGCGGGAGCGGGACCGGGAGCGGGACCGGGAGCGGGACCGGGAGCGGGAGCAGCGCCCGCCGGCCCCCGCCCGCCGCCGCCATGTTGGGACGCGCGGAGAGGGGCGGGGCGGGGCCGCGCCATAGCAACGCGCCCGCCATGGCGGCACGGCCTGAGGGCAGCGGGACAGCCCCGCGTCCCTGAGGGGAGCGGCCAGCGTCCCGTGTTCCTCAGGGGACCGGGGACACGGACAGATCCGTGTCCTCTGAGGGGACCGGGGACACGGACCGATCCGTGTCCTCTGAGGGGACCGCGGACACGGACAGATCCGTGTCCCCTGAGCGGATCGGGAGCCGTCCCGTGTCCCCTGAGGGGAGCGGGGACTGTCCGTGTCCCTCAGGGAAACCGGGACCGTCCGGTGTCCCTGAGGGAGGCAAGGACTCTCCGTGTGCCCTGAGCGTTGCAAAATACGGAATATGTAAAATTTTTATTTAAAAAGAATGTTTTTTGATGTTTGATGAAATCCGTGAAAACGCGACCAACAAGCTCCAAGCGTTAGAAAAGCGCTCGTCACTCAGGTGAGGTGGCCAAGCACAGGAACAGGTTGCCCGGGAAGGCTTTGGAGTCTCCCTCACCGGGGATATTCCAGAGCCATCGGGACACGGCCCTGTGCCCTGGGATAACCCTGCTGGACCAGGAACCTGCACTCCCGCACTCATTCTGACCTTCTGTGAGATCACTCGGTGGCCAAATGATCATTTATATAGAAGGAGAAGTTTTAACTTCACGAGTCTTCTCGCTGAGCAGAGATGAAAGCAGGGCAGCCTTTGGGTCGAGAGCTCTTTCATCCCTAAGTACCTCTCTCCGCAGGGAAAAGCCTCTCTCCTCAAACTGAAGCTCTGATAAAAGGCTCTGTGTAGGTGGTTCGAGAGATGCTCTGTCCTTTCCACAAATTCAGGATGAGCACTAGTAATGGATCTTAGCACCTTTTCACTCTGGCCCAGTATGGAAGTCTTCTTTCATTTCTAAATACAGGCTCAAGAATTTTCATTACCTTAATGAGAAGCAGAAACCCAACAACGTCCCCAGAGAAAGATTTCAGAGGATTTTAAAATTCAGATAATGAAAGACTAAGGTCTCTGAAAAGATAGTTCTTGCTTCTATTGCTCACAAACACTTCATTTAATCCTTGAAGAACAAGTAGGGAACAAAGGGGTTTAAATTCTTACTTTAGGCCCATCGGGGGAGTTCAGGGTTAGAACTTAATTCATCATTGCTTGTGGCCAACAACCCACAAACAGAACAAGAGTAAAATTCTGCTACTTTTGTCTTTTCCTGACCTTTTCTTTTATTTGACCATTAAATCTAAAATGGTTCAGACACATATCTTTTGATCCATATCCACAGCTGCAACCTAAATGGTTTCTAATATCACATTCCCAGTTTTGGTGTTTTCTCTATTTTTTCTGGGTACAGCAAGCAACAAAATAGATGGCTACAATAGCAAAGCCCAACAGCTTCCAAGAACTGAAAAAACTTGTAGCAGCTGCTAATTAGGATTTTAAAAATCTGCAGTGTCCAAGATATTTTAGAGCACATTTTATTTGGAAGAATTGTTAAATGTATGAAGATGAAAAAGATGGATTACAAGAGAATTAAATGTAGGGTTTAACTGAGAAATAATCATTTTCTATGAAAGATAATGACTCCTCTTGAGGCTAGTATCAAGATTTATTGACCCAGGAGGTTAATATTGATCAAACCCAAGGCAAACAAAATATTAGACCTTGAAGGAGAGTAATCTTGATATTGAAGCCTTGCCACTGAGTGAACAGGTCAATATATCTGGGTGCCAGAATCTCAGGGTTTGAACACAGAATGGTGGGGGATATTAAACATGTCTGACATGTTCTGTGTACACACTTTTTATTCTCATCTTTATTTTATAGCTGTGTCCTTCCCTGCAGAGCACCATGTGAGGGTTCAGGCTTCACTCACAACCCTCATTGCAAATCTGATGGGTCTCTGCCTCAGCTCCTTCAGCTATTTATTCATATTTAAGTGATATTTTTAATAGATTTCATTCCAAACACAGGGATCCTGCTGCTGCAAAACCAGAGGGAGAATAAACTGAAAAACCAGAGTGCTGCAATTTATAGATTTGTCATTATATCCCACATACACTAAGTCCAGGAAAAAAAATTGAGTTAAATTCTGCTATAAACTGACAACAAGAAAACAAGTAACTTATGTGGATTAACTAATCAATGAGTATAAAGTCAGAACCACTAGAGACATGAAAATAGTTTACAGGATAAGATCACCCGTTAAGGCGCTGGGGGCAGAAGTTGCCTTTTTATTTCTGTTCATATGGCAACAAGCAGGGGAGGGTTTAATGTGCCCAGCAAAACAAAACAAAAATGCGCCCAATTCACTGCTGAGAAGAGCAGTGTGTGCAAGACAATTGTAATTCTAATTGATTTCAGTGAAAAGAAATAAACAAAATAAACCATGTGTATAATTTTTATTCAGAAAACAAGTACAAAAAACAAGGAAAAAAAATACAAACATAAAATGTCTTTCTATTCCCCAAGCAGATTTTAAGTACTGTATTTTTAAATCTTAAGTTTTATATATAATTTATCTTTATTGAGTCTGATTTTAATATTATTTGAAAGACACTCTGAATAGGATTGGAAAAAATCTGATCTCTTTACAATCAATTATTCAATAATGAACAGCTTCTGAATTCCAGTAAGAAATATTTGCACAGTATTTATTAAAAAAAACCCTAAAATATTTGATTTTCTCAATACAAAATAGGTGGGAGTACAGCAATTAGCACAGTGAACAATTACCATGCTGAGGAAATGCTTCTATTTCCTTGTCAAAATCTTGATTTTTCCAGTTTTGCCAATACAAAAGCGGTATTGATTTCCTCTCTTTTGTCTATCAAAGCACTCTTACAGCACCACACATTTGGATATTGTAAAAATTCAATGGGCTTCTGTGAATTGCATGATAAATAACCCAATTACAGGCACACATCTAATTGTTAGGAATTAAAGGTGCTGATAGAAAAAATCTCCAATTTAAAGTGCATCACATTGGTATTTGCCTCATTTGCATAAAATTATAGACATTTAACCTGAATGTCTGGCTCCAGGTCCTGCCATTCCCTGTGCCACCTCTCTGAAACCATCTCCAGGCTCCTTTTAAGCAGTTCCACAGCATATTAAAAGAAACAAGATGGTTCACAGTCACCTTTCAAGCAGGCTTTTTTCAGATAAATCTTATTAAGAACTCTGATTGTGTCAAGGATCAAGCTATCAAATATGGCTTCAGTCATCCTCATCTTCACTGTTAATTCATCATCACCGTAGGAAGTCCACTGAGATTCTTCTTTGCAGAGCTCCTGGATCTAAAATATAACATGGAAACAAATTTTTACTTCAAAAAGAAGAGCATCACAGAAGTACTGAGACACTGCACCTAATCCAGCAACTTTACATCTGCATCATTAATTTAATTTAAACAACTCATGAGAACTGGAAATACTAGATTATTAATTCCATTTTTTAAAAGGTAGTTATTTGAAATTCTCAAGTTAATTTAAGTAAACGTGATTCTCACAAAAGGTTGAGAATTTCTAGTTTTAATTTAGAGGAAATAAACAAGTCCCCATTGGAAATTCTGCTTACCAGAATAAGGTCCACTCTGTCTCTCTTACAGTTTCCATACTTGGTCATATTTAGGAATTTTCTTTTCATTTCTAAGTCATTCTTTTCCAGGTTCATTATTTTAATAATTTCACCCTGAACAAAGGTCTACAAAATAAAGAAGGCTGAAAAGAACTCTCCTCATAAGAATTCTGGTGCTGTGAAGGTTCCAGATGAGTGACAGGTGCCAGTGTGAAGATCCAGCTTTAAGTCCAGAAACATCCCAAAGTTTAGGGGACTGATCTAGAGGTAGCTGATCAATACTGGCCAACCAACACATTTTAATCATAATATTACTTTAGAGGTTACATAGAAAATAGGAGAGTTTAAAGGCCCATTCCCATTCTTAACTCCATGCATGTGGAATCTTTTGACTAATCAGCTCAGTTATTTATTCTGACATTTCAGGGTAATACTGTTTCTTCTCCCATCACCTCAGTTACATTGCCATAATCATCCCAAATTTCACATTTCTTTTTGCCATTGCAATCTCTGCTCTTTCCACTCTTGTTCCTGTACTTTTTATTGCCAGAACATACCTTGACATCACTGACATCTGCCCTTCTGCAGAGAGGCCTGGCACAGAGAGATCCCACTTCTTTTTTCATCCATGGGAACATATTTGGCTTTGCAGTCACTTGATATTCTGCACACAGCAACTCATGGCTCAAATCAAATATAACCTGTAACAAACTCAGCAGGACACTAAAGTCAGAAAAACTGGATTTCAGTCCCCAGCTTTCCATGGAACTTGGCTTTTCCTGCACAGACCAAACCAGACACTGAGTCAGGTGTACAAGGTCTTACGGTGGAACTCTGGCAAAAGTCTGGACTGTCTGTAAGGACATTTATTCTACTGGAATTATTCTGCAGCAAATCCCAAAATACTCCTGGTAGTACCTTTCAGTGTCCCTTTAGTGTTAGCAACTGGAATAACATTAAATATTAGCTAATATGATTCAGTCTCCAGAACACTACAAAAGTTAATTAACAGTTAATGCTTTGAAAATACCTGATTATACATCCTCTTGCTTTCTGCTTCCAAATCATTCCCTGGGAGATCACTATATTCCAAGTGCTCTGGCACGTTGATGTTCCTGAAATTTGATTTTATGTTCTCTGGGGTCCATAATTCTTCCACAGCATATGCAGACAAATTTTTAACATAAGAACTGTTATGTGGTATCACAAGAGGAACTTCCACAGTTTTCTTCCAAGGAGCTGAGTGCCACTGGTCTGATTTGTACAAGTATTGCTTTTGTGTCTGTCTCACCAGCATGTTTTGGTCAGAATTAGGCTGATCAAAATCTTCAGAGCTTCCAAAAACACCAGCATCAAGGATTTTTAAAAGGAGCTTCAAGAGAAAAAGAGACAGATGATATATTCCATATTTTCAGAGATATTGAGATTATTATTATTAGCAACTGACAAAGGTTACACTTAAAACCATTTTATTCATGGGCTCAAAGAAAGGCTTACTGATGTATTATTAAAAATTCCAATAAAGAAATCCTATTTTCTTTGTTTGGACCATACATGTACTATCCAATGGATACAGAATAACTCCTTTAATAAGGAATGGGTCACATGAAGTGAGCAACCTGGTTCCAAATATTGATGAAATTTCTATCAATGATAAACTGGGCCACACAAATTCTTGCCTCTGCAGACCCAGCTTCAGGGCCAGCACTTGAAATAAAAACTTCTCACTGTACTTACAGGCAAAGTGGTTGGAGAAGTCTCTGGAGATAAATGAAGTATCTTGTCTGCTTTTGATCTCTGTTTTCTTTTAATCTTCTTATATTCTTTAACTGCATCATCTATAAATTTAGTTACAATTCTGTCTGTTACTGTGTGACAACCATGCATGCAAAGCGTATCAGAATCACCCAGTAAAACATCAGAAACCTTTGCTGATGGTTCAGATAAGGCAGCAACTGAATTTTCTTTGAGGGGAAACGGTTTCTGATTGTCTTCATGCCTCAGGCCGTTGCCATAATTCATCATATCTTTTTCAAAGGCACTTTTATATTTGTGTTGAGCTGTTTTAGAAAATGCAATTAAAATGTCAAACAGAAGTTTTTTACTGAGTTCACTTGCAATATCATCAGCAAGTTTAATTCTTTTCTGATCCTCTACCAAGCAACAAATATTTTTGCTTGTGTTTACCTCATCTGTCTTGTTTGTCTCTGGAAGAACATCTGCAAATATAGTTTGTTTTATCTGTGCCAGTTCTGTTTTTTCTTTATCTGATCCCAGGCACTGTAAGTTTTTTTGACAGAGGAATTCATTATTGTTACACTGGTTGGAATGAGGAAACATTTGCCCTTTTCCAGGCAGCAAGGCACTGTGTAACCCAGACTGGTTTTCTTTCACTTCTGAACCTCCTGCACTGTTTGTGGCTTTTGCTTTCTCCCCTACAAACCTCACTCTCTGCTCACCATCTTCAGAATAGTTGCAGTCTCCTTTGAGGGAGTCATCATCATCATGGAAGGAGTCAGAGTCTTCATTCCCCATGTAACTGGAACTATTTTTGTTAACCCCAAACAGGTGTGAAATCTCATCAGGTCTGACAAAGACCCCACAGTGCTGAGCACACTCAAAATACTTCACCTCTTCATAAGTTCCAGCATTGTCACCTTCAGCTTCGTCCAGTGCAACACCAGCCCAGTGACCACTGCCAAAATGAGTCTGGCCTTTGAACATCAGAGTTCCAGGCTGGCTCTGCTTTACCAACACCCTGTCCCCAATTTCAAATAATGATAATGGGTCATCACTCTCCTCCTCAGTGTTGAGCAGCTTTTCATACATTTTGTATTGTTTCATTGGGAATTGAGGACTTTTACTTCCATCAGAAGAATATATGTTTGACACAGGCAGAAACTCCAAATGCTGCAAAGGCATCTCCTGTTCTCCATGCTGGTTTTCTGATAAACAGCTGGAAAGAGCTGTAATAGATTGTTCTGAGAGACAACCATCCTGAGCTGAAAAAGCACTACTTGTCTCTGCACTGAGCAGGAGAAATTCTTCAGGCACAGTGTTATCAGGTAATGGGGGTAATGCATCCATTTCCAGTGATATATCTTCATCCATGCCCTGACTAGGCTCTGAGCCTGTCATTTGTTCTGGTGGAGATGGGAAATCATCCATGCTGGAGGCAGGATCACCATTTTTCATTGCATCTGTACCTAAAAGGGGAGGAGGAAGATCTTCACTTGGAAATGACAAATCCTTTTTGTTAGAGGATGGCAAGTCAGCACTTCCAGAGGACAATACTTCATCCACAGGACACAGCATTTCCAACAAGGCATTCTCATCAGTTGGAGGGAGACCCTTATCACTACTGGAGGTTGCATCAGTGCGTGAAGGGCTGGCAGCTGCATCATTCCCCAGTGCTGGGATCTCATGAGAAGAGGGCTTGTTTCTGCTGCAGCTTTGTGAGGCACCCAGGTGTGGCTCATCCACTCCCTCTGTAGGGTTTTCAGACTGGGAGCAATGTGCTGACTCGGTTCTGGAGGAATCTGCTTTGTCTGCTGGGATAAAGGAAAGCAGATTATCAGTGCAGCCATGATCCAACACATTTCCAGGGTATTTCTGGGAGAGAGATGAAGTCTCAGCTCTGTCATCTTCAGGCAGCTCACGGTCATTGTGTTTGTCACTAGGTGATGTTTCCTTTCCATTGCTTATTGCTATTGGCATCTCTTTTGAGAGATTAGTGAACACATCACCACTGTCACAGACAAACTCTTCTGGGACACTGACATCTGTGTCCTCTCCATGCTTCAGCTCTAATTCTGGGTCTGAAATGGAACTTTTTGAGCAGCTGATGCAAACTGCAGACACTTTCTGAAATTCTGGGTGAAAAGAGTCTGATTTGGCACTTTCACATTTCAGAAAGAAGTTATTTGACTTGGAAAGTGATTCAGTGGAAGTTAATCCCTCAGAAAATGCTTTCAAATTTAGTTCATCAGAAGCTTCATGAGAAGTATGGTCCAAATGCTTCAAACACTGACTGGCATCCACCCGATGGATCTCAGAAGGGACAGGCACTTCCACTTCTTTAACTGGAACATTTAAAAGAATTTTTTTAAAAAATCAGCATTTAAAAGAAAAAATATTTTATAGAAGAGCTTGCTGATAGATAATTTAGAACACTCAAATCTATCATGCTCCTCACTATATCTAGGAGTAAATTAGAAGTTGGACTTCATGATCCTTGTGGGTCCCTTCCAAATCAGGATATTCTGTGATTTTGTGAAATGCATAAAAATGGTTCATTAGAAATATGACAGAAATAGGAAATACTGCCACAATATGTAAATATTTATATTACAGAAATTATGCATACCCAGAACTATGTATAACTGACTCATATATAAACAGACAGTTTTATTTTTCACCTGTCTGACTAAGAGTAAGAAATATGAGCTGAGGATAAAACTTGGAAACAAAAAACTCCAGCATGTCCTGTCCAAGTCTATCTTCAACTGATCTATGTTCTTTTAAAAAGAACAGCCTTAAATTCTTGAAAAAGAGAGCAAATTGTTAATGACACCATCAGAGTAAGTTATGATTTTGTTCTGGAGAAGCAGTATAATCATCTCTCTTAATAAACCTCTGAGAGATCCCCACCATCTTGCCCAGCAGTGATTTATACATTGGTTATAGTGAGCAAGACACTTTGGTAATGAATGAGAAGATTGTCTCTCTTTCTGTCTGGATTGAAATTTGATTGAAGTAGTTGAAACAGATTAGACATAATAGCATTAAATATGATTGACCTGTTCCTTCAAGAGTATTTTCTGCCTGAACCGGGCATAAGTTACACCAAGTAGGAAGCATCCCCAAGCCTTTCACTGGGTACTTTCCACCACATGGATTATCTTCATTATCTTTAGGATCAGGGTGTGAAATAAGTGCTTTTTCCTCCAGCACAGATTCCTAGAATGTAAATATTTAGGAGACAGAGTTATGTTTTAAGGAAAAAGTGCATTTAACCAACACACTTATTTTAACAACATGTTCCCAAATGCCAAATGAGTCTTGTGTTGGTCCCATTTAAATGCAAATGTAATCTGGGATACCCTTTCTTTAGGCATTAATGGAATTGCAGATGTAGTCCTTACCAGAAATACACACTTTTGGCCTTTTCTTGTAACAAGTGTGGCTACAGATTCCATTCCAGCTGAATTTGTAGGTTCCAGAGGTAAGAAAACATTATCCTGAGCATTAAGGGACTGCTTCAAACCTGAGAACTCCTCCACCTGTTTCTGGTGTTGTACCAGTGATTCCTTGTTCTCAGTAGAAAAGCTGTAAAGAGTTCAACACTGAATGCTTCATTCCTGATCAATATAAAATATGAACAGACTCATGAAGGTGGATTAATAGCATAATCACCACTCTGCACTCCTACACAGGACAGAGATCTATGGACAATCAGCCAGAATTTGGGTGCATTTGAGTTCCACCAGCCCTTGGCTGCTCCAGGCTGACACAAATATTCACTGTTCTCCTACGAGCAGCCTTGTCAGTAATAAGAAGTGAAAGCACAGCCAAGAAACCTTTTAAAGATTTCTCTGACTTATAATCAATAACACCATGAATAATAGATCAGTTCCATGCAGGGATTTATTTGAAAGCCTTCCCCTGTGGGGACTTAAGTAAATGCACAAACCTGACTCACCACCCTGCTAAAGCTCTGGGTAACACTGAATGAAAGGGAAGTTTAATTCATATTGATAAATATATGTCTTTAACTGCTTGTTTTCCTCTTCCTGAAGCAAGCTAGATTTTTGTTCTGAACAGTATAGATGCTGTGGGGTTCTCATTCACGCTGCTCAGCTCCTCCAGCCCAGCAGGAAGCAGACAGGGATGCTCCTGGGGAACAGCAGGACAGGGATTTCTCAGTCTGAGCAAACTCCTGAATTATATCTCACTGTACGATTTTACATGACATCTCTGTGCTTCAGTTTAAGCCTAAAATTTAGCCCTGTGTATTACAAAATACTTCTCTGGTTAAATCCTCAGTGAAGCACAGAGCAGTTCTGAAGGGCTGAGTGATGCAGAGGCTCAAAGTAGAGGGTGAAAAAGGAGTGAATTTCCCCAATTAAATCAATACATTTCTACTCATTCCATATGGGTATTGTGAAGCCTCATTAATATATAGTTGCAAAGTGTTTGGGTTTGTAGTTAAAAGCCACCATGAAAGCATGAAATATCATTAGCAGTTGTGTGGCATCATTAAAGGTGCCCTGAGGAACTCACCATTTGGGACAGAATGATAAGCAGTGATCTTGATTTATCAACTGTTTGAACACAGAAGTTTAAAAAATTTATCACCATACACTTCCTTTTTGGAGTATTTAAAGCTCACACAATTATCTAGAACATGCCTGTCTCCAACTTCTCCACTGAATTTGGTCCTGCCTACAGCAATCACAGAGAAAAGCTTTACTTGCCCCTCATATTTCTTGCTCTTTTTATGATTTAGCTGGACACAATTGTGTTTACTCCCTGACTTCATAACCTCCTGCTTTCCAGCCAAACTGGGCAGCTTTTCCTGGAGTTGTGCTGTTGAATGCTGCATCATTAAGATTTCTCTCTGCTGCTTTAATAAAATCTTCCTTTCTTGATGGGCTGCCCTGTAGATGTTTTTCAGGTGCTGGATTTCTGCCTAAACAAAGCGGAGAAACAAAAGAGCTTAATGGAGTGAAGATAATGAAGAGCTATACTTAAAAATATGTATGTTTCTTCACATAGGGCACTATTAATCCCAAAATACCCTGAAAATTCAATAGTTTCCTTTTTCATAAAAAATTGCAGTTTTATTTTTCAACAGAGTTTCACCTGTGAAAACTGATGACAAGTAAAGGGATGTTTTGATGGCATGTCAAGTGGTGAGACCTTTAAAAATGAATTGTCTTCAGATCACTCAAAACTACAAGGTGCTTTGTGGTTTGCACTAGGAATTCCTTTACTTAAATGAGAGGTGAGCACAACACAAGGAGCAGGACAGAAATTTTCTGATTACCAAGTGTAATTATGAACCTCGCATAGTGAAATAACCAAGACTATAAAATTAGCTGTCAGATTAATTTAAGATATTTCAACATCACAAGCATAAATCAGTGGAAACCTACATTATATGACCCATTTGTTATGGCATAAATAGAAAAATCCACAATAACAGTAAGGTAGAAGAAGAGGAAAAAAAAAGATGTTTTCTTTTATCCAAGATTTACAGACTGCTGACTTTGGCACAAAAGCCACCTCACTGTGGGTATGTAGGAAGCATGCAGAATAATGGATGCAAAGGGATTTTTTTTTTTTTTAACACAAACCCCACTTGCTCCAGCAACTCCAGACACCTCTCTGTGCTGCATCCTCCCTGTGGACATGAGATGAATGCCATCTCCTCTCACTGCAGCATTACCTGCTCCCATTTCAGCTCCATCAGGATTTTGTGCTGCTTTGCTGCCATGGCAGAGGCTCCAGTACTATCCTGCAGGTTTTCCAGAACACTGGAAATCACAAGGATGAGAATCAGAGTCAGATCATTAAAAGCCTTGAATTTATGGATGGGAGCGGAGCAAAGCTCCTCTCAAAGCAGCTGTAGGTATGGAATGCTCTGCAGAAAGCTCTGATGCACTCAGACATCTCAACACCCTGGGGTAGTGGCACCTGGACCTCTCCTGAAGCAACTGGAATCTCCTGAGCACTGGGAGGGTCCTCATAGTGTCTCAGTGTGGTCAGAGCTGAGGGACTCCCCTCACCATCCATCCGTGAGGGCTCCACATCCTCATCCGTGCTGAGGGACAGCCCTCACTGTCCCTGAGGGCTGCTCATCCTCATCAGTGCTGAGGGACACCCCTGAGAGCTCCTCATCCTCATCAGTGCTGAGGGACACCCCTCACTGTCCCTGAGAGCTCCTCATCCTCATCAGTGCTAAGGGACACCCCTCACCATCCATCCCTGAGGGCTCCACATCCTCATCAGTGCTGAGGGACACCCCTGAACATCCATCCCCTGAGGGCTCCACATCCTCATCAGTGCTGAGGGACACCTCTGAGGGCTCCTCAGCCTGGTCAGTGCTGAGGGACATCCCATTGTCCCTGAGAGCTCCTCATCATCAGTGCTGAGGGACACCCCTCACTGTCCCTGAGGGCTCCTCATCCATGCTGAGGGACACCCCTCACCATCCATCCCTGAGGGCTCCTTATCCTCATCAGTGCTGAGGGACACCCCTGAACATCCATCCCTGCAGGCTCCTCATCCTCATCAGTGCTGAGGGACACCCCTGAGGGCTCCTCAGCCTGGTCAGTGCTGAGGGACAACCCTCACTGTCCCAAAGGGCTCCTCATCCGTGCTGAGGGACAAGCCTCTCCGTCCATCCCTGAGGGCTCCTCAGCACAGTTGGTGCCTCACACCACCACAGAGGAGGCTGCAATAGAACTCCACTCTGGAGACACTAAAACCACACAGGCTCCTTTCCTCTCCTCATGCTTTACTTGCAAGAAGATTTTACATTTATGGTGCTCCCCCGAAAGGAAGAAAAGCAGTCCTGGCCCAGCACGCCTGCCCTGGTGGTGCCCCGTGGCCCTCACCGTCTGCGGTGGCCCAGCCAGGCCAGCTCGGCCCTGGCCCTCTCCCGCAGAGCCTTTCTCCGGAGCTGCAGGAGCGCTGCCTGGCACCGAGCCCGCAGCTCCTCTGCCCTCAGGCCCTGCTCCACCACGGCCAGGCTGCAACCATGGAAGGTGCTGGAGCCTCCGAAGCGTGGAACGGCTGCACTGTGCTGGGGACAGAGCAGAGAACCGGCATCATCAGGTGAACAGTTCGAGAGAGGGACTAAAACCAAACAAACCAACCATCGCAGAGAAAGAAGCACCCCTCAGACTGTTTCCAGAGCTGGTGTTACCTGGCTGTCAGAACGGGCCTGGTCACTGCTCTCCCCATCGGTTGGATTCACCCAAGGTGAATTCGAGGTGTGATGGATGTGCTGTGACTGCCTGGGATCTGCTGGCAGACATCCCCAAGCAAAGAGTTAATGTCACCAAAACTAAAATATCTGAAAGAAAAAGACCCAAAAAAACCAACTCCCCCAGTACAAGTTAACATCCATATCTGAACTCAAGGTGCCTTTGGCAAATATTTGTCAGCCAAGCCCATGCACCGCCCTCAGCAGGAGCTGGAGAAGTCATTCCTCAGCTGTTCACTTCCAGGAGCAAGGCATGGACATCAACCCTTTCAAGTGAAATCATGGCAAACAGGTAAAAATTTTAAAGGGGCCCATCAATAGGGTAAATAACTCTCAGCTCCCAACATGTTTGTTTTAGCAGGGCCAGGAGTGCAAAGGAAGATGGCCATAGTTTAAATATGCATAATAGACAAATATTTGGGTCCAAATTTTCAAAAATTAGTTAGAAAATTGTGTTCCAGACCAGGTTGAATGGGGCATTTTTCCCAATACCACTAAATCCTTTAACATTATGTTCACCTCCTTGAAGCACTGAGCAACATGAGCCTCCTTCTCCTAAAGGTTTTCTTTCTTCCAATATTTTAGGATCTACTAGACTGGGATCTCTGTCTATCTTCAATGTAGAGTGTCTCTGTGAACCCATCTCTTGATTACTGAAGGTAAGAAAAAGGAAATATTTTCTTATTGCAGTCAGAGATATTATTTCAATTCCTTGCTTTCACAGCCAAGTCCTCCATGGAGATTGAATCTCTTCAAAGCAGAATGCTACTCATTTTTATGTAATACTGAAAGTTTTACCTGTGCAAAGGTGCCTTTCTGGTAATTGCATCCATAAGACCCTGGAAGCAATTCTCAAATCTTTATGCCACTTTAAATGAACTTAAAAAATGCACATACAATGTTCCAATTTATATCAAGGGTATGATAGCAAAGCAAAATGAAGAAAATTATACTTTTCACACAAGTTTCAGAGGGGTTTATACTTTTTCAAAAGTACAAGATCTCCCACAACGGTGAAAAGGTGTTAATCCTGTAGTTCGGGCATAAATCAGAGTGAAAAACACTATATAGCAATTACTTTAGTGCCCCAAAATATTAATATAATCAAACTACAGGCCAAATCCTTGAAGTGCCTCGCTGTAGCCTACCTCCTGTAGCTGCCAGCAGCAAGATGACCTTCCAGCCAGTGTCCTCTCTGTGCCTGCTCTGCGTGGTAAGGTCTTGTCACAGGAGGATCACTGCCTTTGGAATTCCTGCTGTCCTGCACACACAGAAATTGTCACACGCCTCAATGATCTATTTGAAAAGCAAAACATTTAAACCATTTTTCCTCATCATCTTTAGAAAGCCCCTGGTTGTAGATAATGCTTTATCTACACCAACAATTCCTAAAGAGTTGATTAATTAATGGGGTGGGAGAAAACTCTGTGGGTATGTGAGGGTAAGGTGCTACAGCAGCTCACAAATTGCTGTGTGTTGGAACTGCTCTTACATGAGTTGGGGCCTAGAGGTGTTAACCCAGGATCTGAAATCAGAACTTACCTCTGAGCAGAGCTGCAGCAGGTCCCTCAGAAACCTGTGGCTTTCCTCAACCTCTTGCTTTGCCTTCTCCCTCAGCACCAGAAGCCGATGTTGCTGCTGCTGCTGCTGGAGCTGTGTTAGCAAGTGACACATAATAAATGGTATCTCTAACCAGGTGACACCACACCTGGGAGCTGGGGGGGCAAAGGGCAGGGCAGGAGCTGCACAGCCAGCTCCTGCCACATCCTGCTGCCCCAGGTAACAGCACAAATGCTGTACAGCAACATCCACTCACCCACAAGAGCTATAACAATATCTCCAGACAGCAATTGAGGTATGGCACCTCAGCTTTATAGTCCACAGGGTTTATAAAGCTGACTCAGATCAATTATGCCAACTGATTATGGCCTAAGCACACCTGAATGTGGGGATAGGGAGCACCTTCTCCCTGGGACACCAGAGCTGGAATTCCCTTTTCTCATTACACAGGTTTCCCACTGACCTTCAGTTTGTGAGCCAGTAGTAAGGAGGTTTGCCTCAAAATGTTCAGGTGACTCCTGTGTTTGTCCTCCAGCTCTGTGCTGCCAAAATCTCCCTCACCTGCAGAAGTTTAGGGAATCATCATAAAGGGAATGTGTACATTGTTCTGACTGCATTTCCCTTTTGAATCCTCCCTGGGCCTATTTTTGGAAGCCTCCCAAATGTGATATCTGCCTTTATTACTGAAATAACTTCTCTGCATACATTTACCTCTCCCACCATAACTGTAGAAGGAAAATGTCAGTACCTACAGCCTGTCAAAAAATGTGTGAGCATAAAGTCCTGCAAGTATTTGGAACTGTCAGGACTTAAGGAGAGAGGAATGAAGAACAATTCCTGTTCTCTGACTTTCAGAGTGTGGGTTATTGTCACTCTTGGTTCCACTGCTCCTTTACTGCACCAACAGGATCAGAACCTTTGGGTACAAAAAAGAGAAACTTCCCAACCTTGTGACAAGGTTTCCCAGGAGAAAAAAAATCACTTTTTTGGGAACTCGAGCATCATCCTGCATGTCTCCTCCATCTTTATTGAGATGCAGGCTGCTTCCTCTCTCTTTTTTTTACAGAGGGACACAAACCCCTGGAAAAAAAGCTTTCATTTTAAAGTGGGGAAGTTTTCCCTCTTGTTCCAGGTGCACCTTTTTCACTGCTGCTTCCTCACTGCACCTCCCCTGCCTGTGTGTGTGACAGTGCAGCTGATATTATGTTTACCAGTGAAATGTTCTTGGCTGCTTGAGCTCCTCAGATGAATTGCTCAGCTTATGCAAACAGGTTATGTGTTTATTCTGTGCTGTGCCACTGTCACAGCACCACAGTCATAAATGAATGGAAGTGTGGGTCATAAATAGAAATAGGTTTGATTTGGAAACTTGAGATAAAATCTCTGTCTCTAACCAGGTCACCTGAATCTAAATTACCCTATGGTGCAGGATAAGCCCATGACATGCAGAGTTTGTTTTTGCTTTACAGACTGAAGGGTCTGTAACACAGAAGGAGCAGAGATGTGGGCTTGTTTGCATGCCACGATGGGTTTTGTGTTTTTGTGGGTGTGAGTGAAATAAAATATTGAATCTTTGAGCCTGGTGCAGATTTTCTATTAGAATGCCGCTCTGTTTTTATAAACAGCTTGATTGCAGATTTCCCTTTCTTCCTACAGAGGTACTATACGAGGCTTCTCTTAACGCTTTCCTTTTCAGAGTCAACAGACTGGATGGAAATCTCATCCTTTCTTTTGGTAATGGGCCTTTCCTGGTTTTGGAGGGTGGTTTGGAAAGGCAAAGTCATACTAAATTATGTAGACATGCCAAATTAAGAGTTCATCTTTTTAGAAAGAATTTTAGTTTTAGCCAGTCTTTCTAATTTTAAGGACTGAGTCAGACTCTTTAATGCTCATAGTTAACCAGAGATGATTTTGTGCAATGACCTATTTAAGAAAATAGAGTGGGTGAAAAAGCTGGGTTTTGTACAGGGAAGTTTTATTAGTGATTTTAAGCAATACAATAGAAAAAAAAAGAAAAGTGAACAATTCTTCAGTGGGTTCACAGCACTTTCAAAAGCTCCTTCAATACTAATAAATAAGGCCATTCTATATTAAAAAAGTTACAAGCTAAATTTATTGATGATAAGTTGTCTGAGTAGCTTTTAATACTAATATCTGGGCCAGTCAGAAATATGATCATCTATTAGGATATAACTTAAAACCTGACAAATATTTTCAATTTGTGCCTCAAACTGAACAATGCTCTTGTTAGTCTGACCAAAGCCCAACCAGTGGTATTGACCTCAAAGTGATTAAAAAGTTTGCTCTGATCTCTTTTCCCTTCTTTTGAATGTAATTTTCCTAATTGTGGCTATTTCCAGATGCATTTCTTGTGTTGCAGCATCCTGCATTAAAGAAAACACCATCTGGCTAAACTTCACGTCCTTTTAGGTGATGATGAATGGCATTTACTGCCTACCCAGATAGCTTCAATGTGCATACACTCAGCCTTGTGAAAAAAATGCTATTTATTAAATCACTTTCCGCTGCACCTGCAGAATCTCAGCAAAGCCCTGTAGAATCTCCCTGACATATAATTAAAAAAGCCAGGCTAAAAGTCTCATTTTTCTAATCACTTGAAGCAAGGCAGAAGCATTTACTGCTGCTTTACTCAAGGACAGCTTTTTCTCTTTCTGCCCATGTCAGCAATCAGATCAACCCAGTTATTATAAAAAGACATAGCTGCAACTTTAACTGTAAGCACGATTTTGCATTATTGCCTGGAGGTGTAGGAATATGGGGTGTAAAGTGTCCTGAAATGCTGCTGTGGAGTGGAGCAGCAGGTCCAGAAGGAATTTCCCCATCAGCCCCCATTCAGGCAGTCCTTCCTCTCTCCAAAATTACCATAATAGCTCAATTGCTTTATTATTTCAGGGTGCTCTCCAGGTGAAATAGCACCCAGATTTCAGCACTCTCTGTGCAGGAGAGGACCTGCAGTGATGACAGGTAAGAGAGGAGATAAAAAAGAGGTTTGGTAACTCCTGATCACAGCTGAGAAATGCAGCACAGGCAGTTTGACCCTTCAGCATGACCTGTGAGCCACGAGCAACCCCCAAGCAAGAGACTCTCAACATGAAGGCTCTGCCTGTTCCCTCAGGAAATCCAAGGGCTGAGCTGCACTCTGGAGTCGCTTGGAGAATCTCTAGTTCCACAGCTGCTGGATCAGGTCCTTCTCTCCTCTCTAAACATGTCTGGCATCCTGCTTGGCACTGAGGAGTGGCTGCTTACCAAACAAGGGGATTAAGTGGCCTGTGCTGCTCCTGTGCTCTGCATATTTTGTATTTATGTCTAAATCCTCTGGTGTGGAGGGCTGGCCTGAGTTCAGCTCCCAGCCAGATGTTGCAGCACATGGCAGTGCCTCACCCTGCTGCTGCCCCTTGTCACATGGAGCTGCAGGGCAGCTCTTGGCTCAGGATAGCAACAGAGCTGGGCCTGAAGCTGGACCTAACCAGAATCCTGAATTTCCATAGAATGGTCCTTCTGTTCCTCACCAGTTATTCTAAACTCTTTCAGTCAATGACAACATCATTGCAGACAACCCCTGAGGTGCTGAAGGCAGGACTGGAGCTCACTGGAGCTGGGGAAAATACAAAACACTGCCAGAATTTGTAAGGGAATATGAAGATACAAATCCCTCCCTGGATTTGGGAGGGAACACAAAGAGCTGCCTCAGCTCAACACTCTCCATCAGAGCACAATTAGCTGAAGCCAAGCTGATACATTTCTGTTCTTATTCCACTAATTTAATAATTTCTCCCTCTTCTAGAAGCAAGAAGGCAGCTCCCTCTAGTGATACAAGAAAATATGTCAATCAGCAATTTAGGGGAAAGATGATACATATAAATACATTTTCCTTGTAGTTCAGGTTAAAATTCTGCATTTCAAGAACAATGGAAAACATTCCATTTGCTTTCCTAATGAAAATTATTTTAAAGCAGTAGCCATTATTAAACTTTAACATTTAGAAAATACTTTTTAAACAATTAGTTTCAGCTTAAATATCGATACCTCTCAAATACAAAAAAAAAAAAAAAAAAAAAAAAAAAAAAGGAAAAAAGTCTGGTCTGATGAAATGAGATTTCTGGCTCATTCAGTCCAATCCGGCTCAAAGGCCATTCCCTAGAGTGTAGGAACAGGCACAGGCAAAATGTTGGGATTTTAAAAAATCATATAGTTCTCTTATTTAATAAAGATATAGAAATTTGGCTAAAACCAAACCTGTGGGAGAGCCCTGGTGGTTTGGCAGATTTTACATAGTAGTGTAATATGCAAAGCCCTTCTTTATCAGCTCATTGCTTCTACCAAGTTTTGTGCCTAAACTGATGAGAAATTCATGTAAGTGCAATGTGAAATATGACACTACCTGTGGAGACCATTTTTGCTCACCACAGCATGAGCTTATAGGATTTGAAATCCAGGGCTTTATACTGGCTCTGTTTAAAAAGAAAATTCAGCAATTCAGGACAAGTTCACTGTCTTACACCAGGTAGTAAACAAATATTTTGTGACTATCTTCCTCTTTCTGCTTTAAGATGTTCTAAATGAAATTTGTTATTTTGCCAAGTGGGTTTACTACAGAAAATCTTTCTTTGGCACAGCAGTGGGTGCTCAGGTGACGTGTGTCCCTCTGAAAGGTAAATATGTGCATTTGGCAGCAGTTGTAGAATTACACCTCATTATGTTGCGTGTTCACGGTGACTTCTGTGTCCCATGAAAGGACAGAGCCAACAACTGCTGGGTGATGCCTTGAGCAGACAATGCAGCCTCGAGTCTGAATGCCCCATCCCTGCTCTGGGTGGTGACAGAGCCACTTGTGACCCATATTTCAAACCCACTTTGTGCTGAGCAAACACTTCTGTGCCTCCTGTGCAGCAGCGTGGCCTCGGTGGGAATGCTGCTCCCCACTCCAGCCTTGGGCTGGCAGCTCCTACAGATGCTCAGGGAAGGGAAAGGTTTCTCCTGGCACAGACACGGAGCAGCAGCTCCTATTGTTCCTGTGGTGAATAGTGGATGGCTGGGCCTTGCAGAATTGGGGCCCTCAGTTATTAATAGTAAATAAATAGGTTGTCTTTCGCTTAGGGTAAAACACTTCAGACAACAGCCTTGCTGCCCAATCGTCTCTGATGCCCCCCTGGTCCCTGGGGGAGGAGAGAGAAGCACAGTAAACAATGCTGGCTTCTCCACCACCCCAAAATCCAATATGATGTATAAAATGTTGTGAGGAAAACAATGAAGAATCCTTAATAAGAGCAAAGGCTTTTTGTAAGTACTGTCTTTGAGGAAAGGTTATCTGATCTTGTTCTTTTGTCTCAGAAAAGCCCTTAAAACAATGCACCATCTGCTCCTGTTTGGTGGGAGCAGGCAGAGATCTCTTCAGACAGAGCGGTCTGCACGCTACTGGTCGGCTTTTAACCCTTTCGGCCACAAACCTTCCCTTGTTTCCCTGCAAACCTCTGCTCCCGGCAGAAGTGGCCATGCCCTGTACCCCTGGCCAGCCTTCTTTGGCTCTTGGGAAATGCCTACTCTGTTTCTGGGGAGACTGATGCCTTCCAAGGTTTGTGTCCTTGGAAGGGCATCAGTGGAAATCAATTCTACAGAAAATACTGGGTTTCCACAGGAGTGGCCAGCAACACCTGCCCTCCAGCCCCAAGCACTCTGCAGCACATCCCTCCATCCCCCCTGCACCCTGCCCATGTCCTGGGCCTTGATATCTCTTGCTGTCCAAGCAGGACAATATCCCACACTGCTGGGATGGGATAATTATGAGGAGTTAATTGTAAGGCTCCCAGAGACCTTCAGACGAAGCTACGAGGTGCTGGAAATGTCTCTGAGCTAAATGGGGTTTGTTCCACCTGTAGATGTCACTGGGAGCTGAATTCACACCTGTGACAGCACAGCATGGAAAGGCAAAGAACTTCTATTGCATTTTATGCAATTTTAATAATAATTCCACGAGTCAGAGTCTCCTCATCCCCATCCTGCCTCGACAGTGACAATTCCTTGTAATCTCTTAGATTGTGCATGAATGTTGAGAGGACAATTTTTCATGCACCCTTTTTTCACCTTTGAATTCTGGAAGACAATCATCAATTTGAAATTCCCCCTCACCCCAGAAGATTGTTCAGCCCTAGGCAGAACCATCACAAGAATTCTGTTGCAATGAGGAACTGTTCATTCTATTGCCACAGCACAAGAAATACTTTGGGAGGCACCAAGTGACCCTCTGGGAGATGCCACCTTACCCAAGTCCTGCTCAAAGCTGCCAGTGCTCAGAGTGGCAGAGGGCTGGCAGCTCAGGCTGTCCCAGATCCTCAGGCTCTCTCCAGGAGATGGGTTGGCCATTTCCTCTTGGTTCTGAACTTTCACAACAGTCTCACATCCACATTGATCTCTCCGTGCTGTGAGTTCTCCCTGCAGGCTGTGTCAAGGTAACAACAGCAATTAATAAGTTTTTGAGATGTGTATAAAGCAATGTTTTGAATTTCAACAACAACAACAAAAAAGGTTATTTCATTTGAACAGAACTATTACATTTTGTCAAATGGAAGCAAAAGGCTCCCTGAGAAGTCATACCTGGCAACGAACAAAATCTCCTGTCTTACCTTGATGCTGTCAGGAAGGCTAACAACACTCAGTTTTTACCTACTCTAATTACTGCTCTGAAAGAGCTGGGCGTTTTTCAACCTGGTGGCAAATACAAACAACAATCTTGCAGTGTGGAAGCTTAATTTATGAGGGCTGCATTGTACAATCCATGCCATTGTTGGGACTTGGTTGCACAATCCAGCTCTGAGCTTTGGCAAAAAATCTGTTTAGAAACACAAAGTCCTGAACTCTGTTCTAATGTTCTTGGGACTTGTGCTGAACATGGCTGTGGCCCAACCAAGATCTGGGAGTGATACATATACTTTAATATTTCAAAACAATGTCAGCACCAAGTCCTGCAGACAAAGACCTCAGCTAACTGATTTTACTTTGTTTTGGTCTGTAACTATCTGAGCTTAACTAAAAAGATTAAGAAAGAAGGTGTGAAAATAGGCATTTATTGATCAAGCCTCAGCTGAACCACACGCAGGGACACTAAGACACTGAAATGGTGACAGATGTTTTCTTTTTTATACAGAAAAATGAACGTGGAAATTTTTTTTATCGGCAATCAGCTTAGGGAAATCTTATTTCATTTTTCTCGTTAATAAGCTTTTCTTTGTTTTTCATGACCCAGAAACTGCTAAAACGATTAGTACAGCTTCCACTAACGCGTCTTGGATGTGGTCTTCAGAAAGTGGGAGCAAAGGTGGATAAGAGAGAAAGAATAGAGGAAAGAGGGATTTCTTACAAAGCAGTTCTAATATTCATTGGTTAAATGTGCTGAGTTTTGTCTCTGCAATTGTGTTGTGATGGTTTTTTAGCACTGTTTTCTTTGGCTCTTGGGAAATGCCTGGTCTGTTTCTGATGCCAAGCTTTGTGTCCTGGGAAGGGCATCAGTGGAAATCAATGCAGATTCTACAGAAAACGCTGGGTTTCCACAGGAGTGGCCAGCAACACCTGCCCTCCAGACACAGCCAGCTCTGCAAGAAGCACCACAGCTCCCAGATGAGGCTTGTTGGGTTTGCACGGAAGAGAAAGCATTGCTGAGTCCAGAGGAGGAGGCAGAGCTGAGATCCAGCAGGCGACTCTCCAGCCACCACCCTCTGCCCCAGTCCCTGAAGCCACCCAGAGCACTTCCAAATCTGAGCTTACAGCAAAAGCGGGATGATTTTTTTGACTCTTGAGAGTGTAGCCACTTATTGAAGCAAAATAAGATGGAATTGCCCACACACTTTCTGGCACTTTGGAGAATTCCCATCAGTGAGTCATTTGCATCAGCAACAAACCTCCGCCAGCCGCCCCTGCGGACGGGGGAGCAGCCGGGCATGAAATGGGAACATTTCTTATGGAAACAGGCACCTGCAGGATTCTGTGCATGAACATGAGCTGCTGTTTTCAGAGCTATAATTAAACATGTAAACAGCAAACTGTGCTGTTGAAACTGGCCGTGGAGAAGGTCATGCTCAAGAGCGCTGGGTTTGGAGTGCTGCATCTTTTGTATTTGTGAATGAGGCCAGCACACAGTCAGTTTTAACAGGTGGCTTTGCTCAGATGAGCTGTTGGAGAGAGAGAACTTGGTCTGTTGTAGGCAAATGTGGGCTCCTAACTCTTTAGCAGTGGAAGTCAGAGCACAGACCCAACTCAGCTGCTTTTGCCATCACATTTTCTAACCCAGCTCTAGCTACATCAATGAGAGCTCTATAGAAACAGGGTTACAAGACCAAGAACAGAGCATGGACCCCTCCTGCTAGCACAGCCTGTGAAGTTGGCGTGCAAGTTAAGAGACAGGCTCCCTTCACTGCCTGCTGACATTCCCTGCAGAGAGTTCATGCACTCAGAGTGCAAATTTCCCTGGAGCAGGAGAAATTATGGCCCTGCAAAGCTCCTCAGTCACCTCCTTAGAGCACACTGGTGCTCCTTTATCTGGTGGTTTTCTGTCTGATTTGATCTGTAGTGAATTAGTTGATATACCTGATTAACTTCAGGAATAACTTGATCATGGGAGCCTCACTCTGTGCCAAAATCCATTTTTGCTTCCTGTGAGTGTGTAGACTTCAGGAGAGGTGCAAAATCAGACTCTAGATTATATACAAATAAAAGCTGAGGACAAAAGACAGGCTTTTACTCTGAGCCTTTGCATTAATTACTTTACCAGTAGCTAAGGGTTAGGCATGGAGTGCTCTTTCCTTTATATTGTCCCCTCACTGTCACTGCTGCTGCATCACAGGGAGCCCTCAGCCCACCAGGAGATGAGTCTGGAGCCATTCACAATACAGCCACACTTTCCACTTCTAATCTCTAAATACAGTGATATTTTATCTGCAAGTAGCTCTCCTCATCTTTTGAAGCAGCACTTGCAAGAGGGTTGTGATTTATTGTTTGAGAGCTTATATTGGTGTTTTTTTCGGTGATGCTCTGAGGAGTTTTTGACTCTGGCTGCTTTGCTTTCTCAGTAATTGCATCATTCAGCAGATCAGTGCAATCTGTCTTATTTCTCCTCGGTTTGATGCTTGTCCCTTACAGCTGGGGGCTGTTCCCATGGGTCTGGGGGGTCCTGCACCTACCACCATTCCTGTGAGTTTGGGTGGTGTCAGGACAAGACTGATGGGGCACAGAGCTGCAGGGCTGTGCTCCCCAGGATGCAGTGCAGACACAGCTCTGACTCTCTCCACTGCACACTCGGAATGCCCACTGCTCATGTTTTATACATTTGCCATCTTCTGTGACAGAACAGCTCCATAATGCTTGCAACCGATCTCTTGGAGCAGAGATCAGCCCAACCTTTGTGCGTGTGGTGGTTGTGCACAAAGAATAGGGCTTTAACTCTTGGTAATTCCAGTAATTACTCCTCATAACTTTGCTAAGCTCATCTGTCTGGACTTACCTCTCCAATTTTCATTTTCCTCCTGGTTACTTTGCACTATAAAGCTGTAAATAATCTTCTTGAAAAGAATGCTGGGCCCAATATCCCATCTTCAATAAAAAAGAGAAAAAACATTCTGTTTCCCACTAGAGAAGTTTAGCTGCAGGTAATTTGGCCCAGGCACAAGTGCCCATGGAGCAGATCCAGGCCATTCCTGCCTGGGCAGGACCCCACAGCACCAAGTCCCCGTCCTTGTCTCTGAACAGGACACTGGGGACGTGGTGGGCAGTTTGCTGCACATATGTCCTTTCTTTGGTAATGCATGTCCAGGTCATATTTAATCTTCCAGGGCTCAGGGATTTATTCTCTTCTCTGCAGCGTCGTGTGGCCTCTGTGGGAACTCTGGCTTTGTCCCTCTCTGTGGCTGGGCAGGGACACGCTCTGACCTGCAGTTAATAATTGTCCCTTCATGGTGTCCCCTGTCATAAGAAACGACCCAATGGGGCAGTTTGCTCTCTAAGGCCAAATTCAAAGGGGTTTCTCTCAACTGCTATCTTCGTTAAATATTTAACTAACGTAGACTGACAACAACTACATTATTGTAATCCTTTTTTCTACACTTCATGCTACCAAACCAATTTTCCACAATAATCACTGTCCAAGGAAAGGTGCTGTGTGTGAGCAGGTGCACACAACCTACAGAGCTGCCCTGCTGGAAATCTTTCGCCCACTTTTGCAGCAAACCGAGTGAAAACAATCACTAGAAATTAATTTTTTAATTAATCCCCGCCCGAAGGAGCCGGGGCGGTTTTACCCAGGGGCGCGCTCCGTCCCGCTCCGCGCCCGCGGCTGCGGCGCCCTCCGGTGGCCAGAGAGCGTCATGGCAGCGCGGCGGGAACCACCGGGGCCGGGACCCACCGACAGAATCCACCCGGGATCCACCGACGGAATCCACCCGGGACCCACCGGAGCCGCCCGGGATCCACCTACAGAATGCACCCGGGACCCACCGACAGAATCCACCCGGGACCCACCGACAGAATCCACCCGGGATCCACCGACAGAATCCACCCGGGACCCACCGACTGAAACCTCCTGGGACCCACCGACAGAATCCACCCGGGACCCACCGACAGAATCCACCCGGGACCCACCGACTGAATCCATTCGGGATCCACCGACAGAATCCATTCGGGATCCACCGACAGAATCCACCCGGGACCCACCGACTGAATCCACCCGGGACCCACCGACTGAATCCATTTGGGATCCACCGACAGAATCCACCCGGGACCCACCGACTGAAACCTCCTGGGACCCACCGACAGAATCCACCCGGGACCCACCGACAGAATCCACCCGGGACCCACCGACTGAATCCATTCGGGATCCACCGACAGAATCCATTCGGGATCCACCGACAGAATCCACCCGGGACCCACCGACTGAATCCACCCGGGACCCACCGACAGAATCCACCCGGGACCCACCGACAGGAGCCGCCCGGGACCCACCGACAGAATCCACCCGGGACCCACCGACAGAATCCACCTGGGATCCACCGACAGAATCCACCCGGGATCCACCGACTGAATCCTCCTGGGATCCACCGGGGCCGCCCGGGATCCACCGACTGAATCCACCCGGGATCCACCGGAGCCGCCCGGGATCCACCGACAGAATGCACCCGGGACCCACCGGAGCCTCCCGGGATCCACCGACAGAATCCACCCGGGACCCACCGGAGCTGCCCGGGATCCACCGACCGGAGCCACTCGGGACCCACTGGAGCCGCCCGGGATCCACCGACAGGAGCCGCCCGGGATCCACCGGGGCCGCCTGGGATCCACCGACAGAATCCATTCGGGATCCGGTGGAGCCGCCCGGGATCCACCGACAGAATCCTCCTGGGATCCACCGGAGCAACTTGGGATCCACTGACCAGAGCCGGGATCCACCGACCAAATCCAGCCAGGATCCACTGGAGCCACCCGGGATCCACCAGCCGGAGCCACCCGGGACCCACCGACCGAATCCACTTGGGATCCACCATCCAAATCCAGCCAAGATCCACTGACTGAATCCACCTGGGATCCACTGACCAAATCCACCTGGGATCCACCAACCAAATCCATTCAGGATCCGCCGACTGAATCGTCCTGGGATCCACCGACCGAATCCACCCAGGATCCACCAACTGGAGCCACCTGGGATCCACTGACTGAATCCACCCGGGATCCATCAACTGAATCTACCTGGAATCCACTGACCAAATCCACTCAGGATCCACCGACCGAATCCACTCAGGATCCACTGACCAGAGCCGGGATCCATGAACCGCTCCCGGGAATCCACCAGCCCTGGGAACTCACCATCCCTGCTATTTATTTAATGTCTGTGTGGCACATTCAGCAGAGTATAATACATCCAGCTTTGTTATCCCCCAATTTCCAACTACATAGGGTTGGGTTTATATTTCCTTTCTTACTTCTGGGAAAGCCTAGGCAGCAGAAGGGGAAGTGATGTATCCAAAATCAGTGCCGGAGCCACAAATAAAATTATCAAATGTCATTTCACAGATGCAATGAGAGGAAAATGAAAGTGGGAAGGAAAGACCCACTGCCCTGAGTCTGGCTCCTTGCTGAATTGGTGCTACTTATTTTAGATACATGCAAAGCACATTAAGCAGAGAATAAAATATCCAGATTTGTTTACCTTCCAGTGAGGAATCTGTGAGCTGGAGAGGCTGGGCTGGTTATTGGCTTTTCATGCAGTAGACTTATGTCCACCTTGGAGCCCTTATTCACTGGGAAACCTTTTAAAAAGACAAATGAAGACATTTAATAAATGTGCTCTTCATAGAAATGAAATGGCCTAAGCTTTGGCATCTATTCACTGCCTACTTACGTGTGAGCACTTCATTTCAATACAGCTCTTCTTATCCACAGGTTTTTTAACTACATGGGCTTAGGTTTATAATTCTTTTACTTCTGGGAAAGCCAAGGCACCAGAAAGTGACATGTCCAAAATTAGTGGCAATTGGTGGCCACAGATAAATTATAAGATGTAGTTTCCCAGGTGCAAGGAGAGGGGAGGAAAGTAAAACCTAGGAGAGCCACTGCTCAGGGATTTTCCAAGGAACAGCATTTCCAATAAATAGCCAAGGGGAGATGAAGCTTAACCCCTGCCTGTAGCTTTGAAAGACCTGGGCAGTGGCACCTGAGCATCCCTGTTGTGACATGTGGAAAGGATTTACCTTGCAAGGTGTTCCTCAGGTCTCCTGCAGAGCTGAGGTGACTCTGTCCTGCACTGTGAGTGATGCAGGGCAATCCTTCCCTCTCAGCATTCCCACCAGGCAGAGGAGTTGGCATTTCCCTCTGTCTGTCCGGGGCTATTGTTCCCCCAGTGCTGCCCAGTCCCTGCCACTCCCTGTCAGATGTCACACAAAGCACTTCAGGGTCTGTGGTGTCCAGAAGCATTTCTGCAGTCATTGTCCTCTCTTGCCTGTCCCTGGAAGTCTCAGGTTCTGGGGCAGAAGGAGGATCACTGTACAGGTCCAGAGCTGTCTCTGTTGATTTATTGTCAGCAGAGGCTTTAGCCCAGCTGGCTGCACTCAGCCTCTTCCTTGCCACATCAATCTTTTCTTCAAGTTCCCTGCACAGACTGTGGATGGCTCTCACTCGATCCTGTTTGCTTCTCTGTGGAGAAAGTCCAAAAGATGAGTCCTTGGAGGAAGGTTTTGCATCTTTCTGAGGAACAGAAAAGCTCAGAGGAGGTGAATGCAGAGCTGGGGGAGAGCAGTCCCTCAAGTCTTCACATTTCAGAGGACTGAGAAACCAGCGTTCAGATTCCAGTGGTGCTGGAGGACCTGATGCTTCTCCTTTTTCAGGTGATTGAGCTGTTTCCAGGAGTTGATTCCTGTTAAAAAAACAAAACAAAACCAAGAGAGAGATGTCTGCAGTGCAAGCTGAGAAAGTGGCTTTCTAGAATGCTTTTTATGTCTCAGTACCTGCCTCTGTGATCTTCAGGTGGTGGAGGAGAGGATGTTTCATCCACCCAGGCCGTGAAATTCCTTTCCAGTACTCCCCCACTGGTTTGCCTCTGAAAGAGAAGAGCCCAGCAGTGTAAGCACTCAACACTTGGCAACAGAAGGGTAATGTTTGGCTTTTATTCCACCTAATAATTTGCTCATGTAGCTGGAAAACTGCTCACACCACACAGCAAACCTTCTTTTAGGTCAGGCAGTGGAGATTTCCAGGTTTTTGGCCTGAAGTCGAGGATTCCAGCCCTACCAATGAGCCTAGCAGTTTATGCCATAATTATAACCTAATTGTTCTGCTTTTCTAGATAAACTTTTTCTCCCTGGCACATCAAAGCATTTGTATGAAGTGTTTCATGTCCTACATGGTGCTGCACTGATCAAGATTGGAAGGGGTTCAATCTGCCACTCCTCAGGACTTACTTGCTCCAATTCACACTGAGGATTTCCTTTGGCAGAACCCGTTCTCCCAATGGGTTTGTGCATCTCATCAGGACTTGATTTCTTCCCAATAGCTTCTTTTTGTTTCCTGTACAACTCTTGCAACCTCTTCTTCCTCATCTCCGCAGCCTGTGCCAAAGACTTTTTCTCTTTGAGGAGATTTTTCTGTCTTTCTGCCTTTTTTCGATACATAAATTCCTGAATGCTTTCAGGGCTGTAGGGGTGAGGGTTTTTAAGGTTTGACCTTCTCTTTGAAGATTGCTTAAGGTTTTCTTTCTCAGACCCTTTTTGTCTCTGAGGAGATGCACTTTTCCCTCTGCTGCAGCTTCCTGAGGTGCTGAGCTTGGCTCCATCTTTTGTTAATGAAAGTCCAGGGGAAGGAGAATGGATCCCTTGGGATTGGTGTTTCACAGCATCTCTGGGGAGCCTGATGGGTCTGTGCCCCTCACAGGAGTGCCTTTGCAGGAGAAGGTTGCTGAGTGCTTGGTTTGTATCCCCTGTGGGTGCACTGCTGCCCCTTTCAGCCTTGCTGGGAGCGACCACAGCGCTTTGGGCTCCAGGGCTCCTCCCCACAGCTTCAGTTCCCTTCACCCTGGAGCTGTTTTCCACCACTGGCATTGCCCCAAGACCTCGACCTCCTTCCAAAGGTTCTGTGGGAAAGATTTGGAAACAACAGTGATGTAATTATTTCAGAGAGTAACAATTCCTGTATCTACAGTGTGCATCTCCCAGCCTGCTTCCAACCACGGCTCGGAGGACTATTAGCATTGTCTGTTATAAAATCTGTTGTATTCAAGGGAGAAGAAAAATCTATAAAGTTGCAGTTTTGTTTAAATTAGGTTTAATAAGACTTTTTAATATTTTTTTTGGGGTGTGCCAAAAGAAGCAGTGCTGTAGAAGGACAGCTGTACCAAAGGTCTTTGCTGTGCTCTGCCCTCCAGTTCTGCTCCTCAAATGTGGAAGTGGAGGGGGTGGACCCAGCAGCCTTCTAGCCAACTTCTGACCTTCTCTCCATGCTGAAACACCAGGCAGATTCACACCTGAAACAGAGAGTTTGTATTTAATTATTAAAGTCCCACATGTTCTTTGAAAGACTATTTTAACTCTCTTATTCAAGTCTGTTTAATGGTGATTTCCAGGAATCACACTCAAGGTGTGGGGAGAGCTAAAAAGTTTCAGTCAGAGAAGGTTTAAAATGAAATAAATTTTAAAATGGTGCTCCTTTGATAACAAAAGGTTTTTAAAGCACTGAAACTTTGGAGGCTGCCAGGGTCATGAATCAGATGCGTTCAGGAGTATAAAATGTGAATGTTCAGTGCTTTCCTAAGGCTTTACTATGAGCAATTATATAATTTAACACTTAAAGTGTGTTCACATGGTCTTACAGGTTTTACTCAGAAATCACTGACTCTCAGAGGTCTCAAGAACACTGAGAAAAGATCAGGACTTCCTGGGTACCAGCACATTTGAGAACTGAAGGGAAGGGGATAACAAAATTGTTGTTTTCCTTCCTTTGAAGTGATTACTTCAAACTCACCAGAGGAAACAAATTCATTTTTAAACTGGTGAGAATCAGCAGGATGTGGTGCAGGAGAATCAATGGAGGCTGCAGGACGAGGGACAATGTCTAATGCAGAAATAAACTCTGCCAAATGCAGCACAAACAAATTACTCTTGCTTAATAGGTGCTGTCACATAATAGACAACATTTATCACTGTTTTACTTCATAATTTCAGATTGCATTCACCAGCATGCCAATACTGGCACAATTATGTATTTATTGCAAACACTTCTCGGCACAAGGTGGCTGAACAGGCACTTAGTTGGGTTTTGCATGGAAATTCTACCCCCAAAAAATCTCCCCCAATTAAAATCCTCGAGGTGTTTTTAATAGGAGAGATTTTACTCTGAAATCAGCCTCAGCTCGTGTGGTTCAGTGCTCAGTCAGTGTGCAGCACCTCAGGGTCAGGGACACAAAGGGCTCTCCAAAGACTCTCTGACTTTGGGAACAGTGCAGGGTAACAGCTTCTCCTCTGCACCACTGAAGGAGTCACAGCCAACAGCTTTTATTCTTCATCTGCAGCAGCCTCTGAGATGCTCTGCAGGCTCCTGTGTCACAGGCAGAATGATGGTTTTCAGACAAGGAAGAGCTGAACTCCCTGTGGGGCTGAAGTCACTTCCTATAATCCCATGGACTTCCTCTGCAAGGAATTATCACCAGATCTGTGCATGGTGTTCACAGCAGGAACACAGAGGGAATTGCCAGAATCTCCTGGGCTCAGAAGGGCTGGGATCCATCCATGTCTTTAAGGAAACACCTCCCTGTGTCACTTTGTTTTTAGCAGTACTAAAAATGCATTTATTTTGTACCCTATTTTAGCTCCTCTGAATGAACCAGACAAATTATTTTGTGGATCTAACAATCTTTGCCTCGCCATGTTGTTTATTTCAATTAAATCTTCTTTTTATCTGTATCTTGTTCATTAACTACAACAACTATGATGCTAAAGTTCATGAGCAGACTGCATTCCTGATGAGAACAGTTGATAGAAGAAACTCTTTTGATTTAAATATTCTCCTGGGTTTTTTCCCTACCTACGAACAGATGAATATTTTATAGCTGTGGTGACTTAATTTTTTGTTAACTACAGCAAATTTATAATTCATCAAATTCCTGAGTACTCTGGCTCTGACCCCTGCCCCTCATTCATCTCTTTGTAGCCCTGCCTTGGCTTTTTCAGTGACAGAAACTAATAGCCAATAAAGACACCATGACACTGGCAGTTACAATGATGAATGCTTCACGTGGCATGGTCTTATTATGACCCACTCTCAGAGGAAGAGCAAGCCATTTTTCAAACAATCCATTAAAACAAAAAAAAAAAAAAAAAAAAAGAGGGAGAAGGAAATTATTACATATTTCATGCATTTAAAATCATACTTAGGGACTACAGCACACTATGCTGATAATTCTATCTGGATTAGAGAGCTTGGATTTTTTTAATTTCTGCTTCACACAAGCGACTTGGGAACTTGGCAGGTGTAAAGTGCAACCCACAGCACTTCCACTTCTTCCCCACAACATTTGAATGCAACCATTTCTATGCAAAGCTATAGCATTAAATGGGTAAAATGACACCAGGAACTTCAAACTGCCCTTAGAAATGCCTGTCAAATAAAACTGAGAACCAGCAATTGAGACTTGGATTATTCATCTGACTTTTCACTGTCTGGATTCAGTCCCTGCTTGGCAGCCCAGGAAATTCCTGCCTTTAGTGGCACCCTTAATTCGTTAGGGAAGCAGAACTGAATAGGTGACAGACAGCTCTTCCCACTAAGGATATATGACTTATTTTTCATTTCTGATGAATTTTAATCCTGGCAGGTCTGGAATTCAGCTGCTGCAGGCAGTTCTGTTCATCAGTCCTTGTAATTTCTCATGGTGTCCAGCCTTACCTTTCCCTGCCACTGCTCTCTCTAGAACACAGGGCTTGGATGAAAGCTGCCTCTGGTGCCCTGTTTGAATTCTCCATGCTGAGCTTCTCTCTCTTTGGTCTTTAATCAGGAGGTGAAAATAAAACACAGAAAAGAATTAGTGTATCTAAAATCAAACTTGCTGAACCCAACAATCCAATCCCAGCCCCATTCCCTTGAAATGCAAAACCAGAAGTCTTTTACTTGAAATTGGTCCCCAAACATGCAGAACTCCTTCTTTACTTTATTTTTGTAGTATAGATGTCCCAGCAAAGGAAGCAATGGCCTGGCTCCATCCCTGAGGCTCTATCCATGACCGTGTCTATCCATACAACACAACAAACAGCCCTGCCCTAACTCTGCGTCCTGTGGGTGCAGTGGGAACCCCCCTTGGTGTCTCTGGAGATCCAGGCCAACCTCTCCATGCAGAACAAACACTGAATACTTGGGGAAGTCCCCAGTTATGACACCTCATTGCTAACCTGGGATCTTTGGGGCTTTTTTATAATCCCTTCCTTGTCCAGGGATGGTAAATCCTTCTCTGCCTGGTATTCTGTGCTTTTCATCAGGCAAGGAGAGAACAGAGTTGGGTTCAGAGCACTCAAACCCAGAAGAACAAATGTTGGAGAGCCATTAGGCTACAAGGAGCTGTGCAGGTTCTGGTATTCAACAGCTGAGCTCCTGCATGTGTGGAGAGCAGCTCTGGGCTCCCAGGGCTGGCTGCAGGTGTCTGAAGAGGGAACACTTGGCAAAGCAGCTGTGACACACTTCTTTCTGTAGTAGGGTACAGGCAGACAAAGTGAACAATAAGCAGCTGACATGAGTGTCTGGAGCTGTGGATCCCCAGCCTCAGTCTGTGAGGGTTCCACAAGTGGAACAGTTTGTTTGGCAGTTCCCTCACCCAGTTATGTAAAATGGTCTGGGTTAAAAACAAACTGAACAAGCCTTCCCTTGGGAATGTCCCAAGGAGGCTCAGCCTGGACTGTGGCTCTGGCTTCTGGCTTTAGGAGGGGTAACATCAGGCACTGGTGACAGAAAGTGCTGCCTGATGCAGCTGGAAAGGGACATGTGGCTGCCACAGACCTGAGAGCAGCACCACAACATCCCTGGTGGCAGGGAGCAAATCCAAAGGAAACGCCCCTGGAAGCTGGCAGGGTGTGCCAGGGATGCCAGTGCCCAGTGAATTACCACTAATGCTATTACAGCAATGAGATTTATTCTGTGCAGCCCTTCAGCTCCTCCAGTCCCCTATTCCCCCAGTAATCCCCCTTGGCCTGAGGCTGCTGGGCTGGCCCCGGGCAGTCCTGACCCCATGCCTTTCTCCAGCAATCCCAAATCCTGAACCACACTAAACTAAAGTGACAGCTGTAGATGGATGGTTCTTCAGCCCCAAATTTAGCAGCAAAGCATGATAAGAAGGTCTAATAATATTTGCATTCAGATCCACACCAGTTTCCTCTGAATGGACTGTTAAATCCCGTGTAATGCCTCTGAACTACACAATTCCCACTTTAAATACCTGTGGTGCCTCTCTCACTACTGTTCTGCTGGCTCCTATATTATGTTTTATATGTGACAAAAGGAAGGATGTGGCATGAAAGGGGAGAAAAAACAGATTTGCAGCAAATTCTTTACTATTTGAGGAAATGTATGAATTTGTGTATGCTGGAGAGTAAATCCAGTGCATGGGCTGTACAGCACAGGGAGGTTTGGGCCAGCAGAAATAAATGGATTTATCATGAGAACATGGGTGATGTCCCCCAGATACCACAGGGAGGGGTAGAACCTGTGCTAAGTTATTCAGCTGTGCCGAAGCACTGCTAGGGAATACCCAGTTCCAGCCTTTCTCCAGACATTCCAGACCACCACTGACCTCTGTGAGCTGGAGCAGGAGGAGCAGAGGCCACTCTGCAAACCTTTCTTTTCAGGGCTCTCTTTGGCAGGGGGTCTTTAGCAAAAATCAGGCGCTCCTGCTCCCGGGGAGCTGCTTGCTGCTTTCTCTTCTGCTCCTGGATCCTCTTCTTAAGTTGCTCTAACTTATTTTGGGGTGATTTTCCCCACAGCTCTTCCAGCCTGTGATGTCTGGCCTTGCTGGCTGCTGAAAGGTGGGATGTGGGAGGCAGGAGAGCCGTGGGCACAGGAGTGCTGCTGCCCCAGGGGACAGAGAAGGAGCTGCTCCCTGCAGGGCAGCGAGCTGGGCCATGCAGGCAGCAGGGAGATTTTTCCTGCTCTGCTGGGAATCCTCTTGAATCTCCCAGCTCCCTGAAATTGTCCCTTCTTGGGCTGTCCAAGCTCTTTGCAGGCGCCCATGTCCCAGCTGAGCCTTTTCCATGCACAGCCCAGTTCCTGGCAGGGCTGCAGCGTCCTGAGGCTGCCCTGGGGGACAGAGGGGACATTCTGGATGGAGCAGAGATCACAGCAGGGCTCCCAGGCAAACAGGTCTGTGAGCAAGCAGGGGAGAGAACAGCAGAGCTTCTCTCCCTTCAGAAAAAGAGAAACAAGGGTCAGCATGTAGGATTAAAAATTATTAAATTGATCAACACACTGACATGAGTGACTGCTGAGTTTGTTCATGTTCTGGTGTGACCTCAGAATCAGCACTTTGCCAGTCACCAGCAGTCTGGCAAATGAAGATGATTTTAGGGAAGTACAGTGCAACTTGTGATCTGATAAGAGAAATTATTAGCATGGGCAGAGAACTGATATCAGGCACTGCCTTCCTCCATGGCCTTGTTGGTCGCAGCTGGGGGAGAAATTGTTTGGTGACTCTTTTGTTCCTTTTCTCCCTAATAAACTTCTTCTGAAGTCCTGCATTCCAAATTTTAAATCCCTTTATGTGTGCCTTCACCAGCTCACCCCCCAGGGGCTGTATACTCAGGTTATTTTTTACCTTTGGTCTGGAGCAATCTCATTGCTCTTTTTCTCACTCAAAGCTGTTTCATCTTTGTTCCTCTCACCATCTACAGCACATCACAACTATGTCAATGTCAAAATTTCAAAAATATTCCTTAACCATTAAATTCAAAGAGCAACTTTGACTGGGGACTATCCCCCCCAAAAAAACTGGCCCATAAATATTAAATAAATATGAAAGGCTAGCAGCTGAAACTGTTCCCAGCCAATAAACCACCTCAGAAACAAATATTTAACAGATGCAAAAACAACAAGAGAAGTCTGTTCTTGTCATTAACTTTTAAGAACATTCTGGAATTGGGTTCAATTTCCTGCTTTTTCCTTTCTCCCACTTCATCTTTTAGAAATGATTTTAAACACATGATGTATTTCCTGCCAAAGTTAGCAAACAAAATGCTGCATTTACATCAGTTTATCTCTAGGGAAGGAACCCTCAGAGGAGAAGCACAGGGAGCTTTGACTGTGCTGTAGCTGGTGGGTGTTGATGCTGCAGCTTTTGCTTGAGCTCTCCCCAGCAAGATGTGACTTCCTGTGCATTGTGACACTTTGCTGGGAGCACACAGAAAGCTGATGAAAATACACACTTGCCTCAAAAAAGAGGGTTTTTCACTATCTCCTGTCATCTTCCCTTCCCTCCAGCACCAAAGCCTTCCCATCTCAGCAGTTTCCCAGCAACTCCAAACTCACCAAAGCTCTTTTTGTGCCAAAGCTTTCTTCTGGCTGCCTGTGATTTGGCACAGCTCCACGTTTGATGACAAAATTTGTTTTCAATCCGTTGTAGCTGTGAAAAAGCAGATTTTTCTTTTGAAGGGAGACATATGTTTTGGGGTTTTTTTTCTGGAGACGCTTTTTGCTGGCATCCCCTGCTTCTCTGATTAGTTTTGCAGCTCCTAGTTACTGTGTAAATACTAGCTTGTCTGAGCATGTTCCATGTGGTATTTCCTACAGTTGGAAAGAATGCATTGACTGGGAAGATAAGAGGTGAAATCAGCTCTCTCCTTTATATTTTTGCATGTGTGTATGCCTCAGATTTTTACTGATGTTTTTAAAAACAGCTTAAGCTGGAGGTGACCCCAGCCAAGAGCAACTTCAGCAGTGGGATGCTGCTGTCAGGCTTTGCTGTGCAAGCAACACCCCGTGGATTTGGATAATATTCTGCATTTATCCAAGGAATGTCAGTTATGATGGCAGCTGCTGTGCTCACAACTCCATCATGTGCCCTACTAAGAGGATGATAAGACAGGGAGAATCCAGAGGATGTCCCAGCTGCTGTTCTGCTCAGGGCTTCAAACACCAGCAAGGCAGAGCTTTGTCTGTTCCTGTAATTCACTTTGTGAGTGCTGTGAAATTGGGTAAAATTCCTTGCTTTTCCACTTATCCTCTCTTTGTTATTTAGCAACTAAGGAGGTGATGTGTTCACTGGGAAAGAACAAACCAAGTGGAAGGTTTACATTGCTGTCAATTACAATATTTCCATGGAATTCAGCTGTGGAGCTGATGCACAGGCAGCTGACAGAAAGAAATAAAGGTGTGTGACAGCAAGTGCTCCCTGAACTGCACATACACTGCTTTGGCTTCCTGGAGACTCTTCCAAGCCAAGGCCACAGCTGAATTCCATGGAAATCAAGATGATGGATTCCTGCCAGCTCAACCCTTACCTTTTGAAGGCTCAGCCATGCATGGAACAAAATCTCCACTGAGGAGCTGTGCAAAAGCCCTTTGGAGATGATCTGCAGTCTTTCAAGAGTGGCTGATCCCAAAGGCTCCTCCAAAGAGAGGCGTGAGAGCGATCCCAGCACCGAACTTCCCACGTGCTGCTCCATCCACAGGCTCCAGCTCCTGCTACCAGCTGGGAATGCAGGAGAGACACGTCCCAGGTCAGTCCCTGCCCTGCCCACAAGTCCTGGGAGGAGTGGGAGGACTGGAGGAGTCTCACCAGCCCCTCCAGGGCTCAGCCATTGCCACACCTTTGTTTGTGCCCCTCTGTGCAGGGCGACAGCAGCCACAGAGCAGGGAGGGGAGAAAACAAACAGCAACAAGAGGGTTGGGAGCAGAGGAGAAAACAAACAGCAACAAGAGGAGCTGAATGCTGATCTCAGCTTGCAAACATGTGGCAAGGTGCCAGAAGATTTCGTGACAAGCCCTTGTGTCCTTTCCAGGCATCCTGGCGGTGACCACTGGCAGGGCTGGGTGGCTGCAGGGGGCTGGGCAGGGTGACCAGCCTGGGGCCCAGGTGGGACCAGCTCTGCACTTCTGGGATGTCAGAGCAGGGAGAGGAACCAGATCTCCCTGAGTCCTCATCCCAGGGCATCTTTCCTTACTGCAGAGTGGCTCTTCCCATTCCAGGGCATCTCTCTTCACACCTTCTCCTGTGGGCTCACACAGTGTTTGATCCTGCTCTCAGTCACACCTGAATCCCTGCTTTCAAGAGAGCAAGGAGCTTCACTTTTGAGTTCTATTTAGGGGATTTTTTTTTCTAATTTTTTTCTTTATGATTATAAGCAAAAACTTGATAATATAAAATAAATGTTTACTAAAGTTTCAGGTGACGCTTTTCCCCCTTTGTGGGTATCACTTATTTTAAGCATCACAATTTTTGAAGTGTAAGCATTTGAAATCTGGGCTGTAACCATTCGGATTCTCCAGGTTTTGGGTTATTTGGAGGGAAAAGTCTGATAAACCAACAGCAGAGGGCAAACACAGCCTGCACACTGGAGCTGCAGCACTTGGAGCCTCCCGGCCCCAGTTTCTGCCAGGACAGCCCAGGGAAGGGGCAGGTGCCACCTTGGACAAAAACAGCCTGGACTGGGAAGCAGCAGCAAAACTCTCACAACAGCAACAACTCGCTTTCCTTTTCACTTTCATTCTTTTTATGCAGCATCTGATGGACTTCAGTGGGCTGTGATGTTCTGAACTGAGGCCTGACAGTGCATTTCTTACAACCTTTCAAAATTACCTCTGCAAAGCCATAAAACACGTTTCTTCTTACCCCACTTACTGCTGTTGTGGGTTGAATTTCAGTGAGTACCCCAAGAAAAGAATCTGTATCCTCTTCTCCCACCCCAGTGCAGAGCAGAGCCAACTGCATGCTGTTCCATTCAGCATTTTGGTTTATATTGAATCTGACTCTTTTTTCTGGTTTATATCTTCAATTATTCGTTCATTCTTTATAACTCTCCCAGATTTGCTTTTAGCAGCAATGTCAGGATTGTGAGTGTTGGTTATTTCTGGAAAGCACTCAGAGGGTGAGGTGAGACATTGGCACCACATCCTTCCATGCCCACGGATCCCTGTGGTCTCTGAGAATTCCTCCTGAAGAAACAGACTCAGCCTCATCTCATTAATGTCCCTGCTCAGAGCCTGTGCTCAGACATCCCCAGAATTTCAGCTTTTCAAGCCTAACCAAACAAGGAATTCCAGAGTGGAGTCGCAAAGTTCCCTTTTCAAGCTGTTCCAAGCCAACGCTCTGGCCTGATGAGAGGTTTCAGTGCTGGGAATGCAGAGCCTGCCCAGGAGGCAGCCACAGCTATTCCGGGTGCACCAGCGATAAGAGCCCTAATTGCAGACCCAGGGCTCAGGGGTGGGACCTCTGAGAGGGGAGAGAACACAATGTGCAACCTCAGCAGCAGGAGGACAACACTCAGGGAAGATTTGGGAAGCTGTGAGAGCTGCCAGGAAAGCCCAGGGCTGGTCCCAGCCTGCTGGGATGGTGGGAGAGCCAAGTGGAGCAGGAATTCTGAGCTGTGACAGGCAGAGCTCACGGCAGGAGATGCTTCTGGGTGCCTCAGGTCGGACCTGTGCCTATTTTGGCTCAGGATTTTCTCAGCAAGCTGTTGGAGCTGACAAGAGCCAGGAGAGTGACAGATTGCCACTGTGTTATGCTGCACATCTTGGAGTGTTAGACCACAAATCTGCTGAGAGATGAAGTGAAACTTATCACTGGGCCAAATCCCACTTCTGCAGAGTGTGAAACTCCCCAGTGAGGGAGCCGAGGGTGAGCTGAGGCAAGGATGAGCAAATCCATCAGGATTTGTATTTTAGATCTGTAGGAGCAACATGAGCCAGTCATGTACAGTTCTGTCCTGCTGACTCCACAGCTCCTGCCTCACCAACCAAAGCAGGAAGAGGCTTGGGTTTTCACTCCTATGGCATTTTAGAGGCACCAGCTCCCAAAACACGGAATTTCCCCTACTGAGATATTCCAACTACCACCTCCTCATTTTAACAAATCAGACAACAGGCTATGGCCTATTCAGAGCAGGTTTTAGAAAGGAATTTTAGTTTTTTTCTGGCAAGGATATTGCAAAGTTTCTCTTCTAAGAACCTGCCAAGGGAGGTGCTGCTGACCCCTGACATAGAGTTATCCCACGAGGAGCACATGGTCTGGGTTTGAGTCTTCTTTTTCCCAACCAGGACTTCCTGCTTGCACACACGATGCTGAATGGGGCAAGAAGTGCCCAGCTCTGCCCCACTGTGGCACTCAGAGCTCCAGTGTGCATTTCTGGTGGTTTTACAAGGCAAAGGCAAGTGGCTTTGGTATTTACTCAACCCTGTACGAGACCGTTTGGAGTCTGAAGGTTTGTTTGATATGGACTCACCTCCCAGAGGCTTCAGTTTCTGCTGCTTTGCACTGTCACTGTTTAGGAAATATTTCACCCAGTAACCCACAAGGTCTAGCAAAATTCAGGAAGTGCAGATGTATGTGAACCAAACCCAGAAATTCCTCCTAAGTCTCAGTGTTTTGAAATTTTTACACCCTCCAGACGTGCTCCAAGAATCTTACAAACAACCCACAGCTCTGGCAGCCACACTCCTTTATTCTCTGCTGGTTTGCTCCCTGTGCCAGGCTTTGTGGGAGTATTGTGAGTTCCCTCACTTCTGGAGAACACGTCCAGCTAAAAGGAAAGAAAATAGTATTTCTTTTGTTGATTTTTTTACAGTTCCTGACTAAGCAATTTTCATGGAAAACCATCTTCACAGCAATTCTCAGTTAGCAAACAATCGAAGCCCAAACATAGACTTCGATTGCAAGCTGGATGTGACATGAATTTTGGAGTGAGCACACAGAGGGAAGAGGCAGCTGATAAAAAACCAAATGCACTGCTCTGAAATCTGACAGACAAGGCCCAGTCCTGCACCCCCTGGAATCTGTGACAAAACACTCCCTGGAGTTAAAAGGGACAAAGATAAAGACACTTAATAAATTGGGATTTGATTTGAACCCACAAGGAGCTTATGGGACCACTAAGCTTTGAAGTCATTCTTAGCAGTACTTATCATCTCTCAAATCAGCTGCATAATAAGACTGAGACAAATGGGCTGCCATGTCACTGTTGCTGAGATAAAACACAAATTTCTTCCTCCACAGGTAATGTTGTGAGATATCAGAGTCCATGTAAAACACCCAGAAACAGGGGAGGGGTCTGATTTTTGCTGGCACCACTGAGAACATTTCCTCTTTTTTTTTGGTTTTCAGTCCTAGCAGACGAAATTCCTAATTCCTTCCCACGTTGCTGGGAAGCAGCAGATCCTTTTTCCATGGGCTGTGCCATCCCCTCAGTGGCTGAGTTGCACTGAGTGCTGAGAACAGCTTGGATGCAGGTGGGAGGCTGCCACGAGGCTGTCCAAGCTCAGGGAAGGATTTGTTGCAACAGAGACACGCTGCCTTTGCTTGGCTGGCAGCCAGAAACATAAGGGAATATCAAGCTTGTATTTTCCTATGATGTCCTAAAATAACAGGAGTAATGTGTGTCAGGATAGAACGAGACCTTCAGAATATCTGGATTTTATGCTGCCTGCCAAGTGGTGTCTGGCAAAGGGCAAGTGTTCTCTTGATGTGCTAAAATACAGATCCATCACCCAGTTATTGGGGGAAAGTGTGTTAAGATAGCAAATAGCTATCCATGGCCC